CCTATAGCAGATAGTTATTTTCAGTAATAGGACAAAATGAAAAAGTTATGCTACACTTACAAAACATCGAATTCAATGCGACCTAAGGATTAGCCATTTTGAGATCATCATTCTACCGCACAGTTAAAAATAGAACCCATTTTTTTTTTAATTCTAAAACATACCAGCCTAGAAAACTCATAAATATACCATTTTCCTATAGTAGATAGTTTGTTTTTAGTAATAGGGCATAAATGAAAAAGTGCTAAACTGACAGAAATCGAATTCAATGCTACCAATTTGAGATCATTCTCCTACCGTGCAACATTCAAAATTACAACCTAACCAAAAAGATGTAAAAATAAACCCCTTGTAATTATATTTCTTAGTTTTATATTAAACTTCTTTGCTTTCTTCAATTTTCCTATATTAAATAGATGCTTTTCATTAATAGGAAATAAATAAAAAAGCTATTCTTTAAACTGAAAAAAATCAATACATTTCAATATAAAAAAAAGTCAATACGACCTAAGGATTATCCATTTTGAGATCATCGTTCTACCGTACCATTCGAAATTAAAACCTAACGAAAAAGATGTAAAAATTAGCTCTGAGATTACATTTCCTAGTTTTAAATTAACCTTTACTAACCTTAACACTGATGAATTGTATTTATTAATTCTTAAACATTCCTGTCTAGATAACCCATGAAAATACAATTCACTTATAGTAAATAATTTGATTTCAGTAAAAGAAAATAATTTAAACAGTTTTTCTTTAAAACTGACAAAAATCGATGACAATGCGACCCGAGAATTGGCCACTTTAAGATAGCTCATCGTTCTACCCTACAGTCAAAATTAGAACCGCAAAACGATATAAAAATTAACCATTTGGAATTCTGTTTATTTATTTTGACAGCACTTTTTTAAATTTTCCTCTTGTAAACAGTTGTTATTTTAGTAATAGAAAATAAATGAAAAAAACAATTCTTTAAAATATGGCAAAAATCGAAGTGACCCAAGGATTGGCCATTTTGAGATGGATCATCCCTACGGATTATAACCCTTTTGGATTCTATTACTCCATTTTAAATCAATAATTGGTTTCTTTCGATTTTCCTATTGTAAAAAATTGTATTTCAGTAATAGGAAATAAATGACAAAGCAATTCTTTCAAATCTGGCAATAATCGAAGTGGCCCAAGGATTGGCCATTTTGAGAAGGATCATCCCATCCCTACAGATTATAACCCTTTTGGATTTTATTACTCCATGTTAAATCAATAATTCGTTTCTTTCTATTTTCCTATTGTAAAAAGTTGGATTTCAGTAACATGAAATAAATGAAAAAGCCAGTTTCATGCTTAAGAAGTGACAGAGAATACGTGTAAAAAAAGAAGGCCACTCCCGGAGAAAGTGTACAATTGAGGAGTTTCAGGAGAGAAATACGAAATAAAAAACCAGTTGAACGTCAAAAACGAAAATGTAAAACAATCGGAAAACGCTTTTAATTACAAAAGCCAAGAAAGGGCAGGAAAGATCGGACAAAAGAATTGTAAAACAAGCTAAAAGCATTGTTCTGAAAGCTTATTTAGCGATAGTCCGATATAGTTTTCGCAAATGATCAAAATGGAACAGTGTCGTACAGTAGAATAGGTGAAAAAAAGGACCTGAATCAAAATTACCCAAGAATTGTAGACCAAGCTGCAGAATGGGGTTGACTGGATAAGGCCCAGGGGTAGATGTTCGATATATATTATTGAGGGTTGTGTGCATGCGCCAGATTAAGACCGCCTCCCCAACCCCCTCTTTCGCCACACCGCCATTTTAAATACAATTTACTTATCTACGGATACAAAATATAATATTACACTAAACAAATCAGAAGATCTAGTTTTCTCTCGTTAAAATTCGAATAAGGACTGGCCAATGAGAATGAAAGAAATAAACTTATGTAGTCTTCAAATCAAAGTTTATTATAAGTTATTTATGTTTCAATATGTGTATTTTTGATGTTTTATGCCTTGAAATGGATTTCAAATACGCTGTTCAATCTTTTATAATACAGCGTGTATTGATAATTGTAATACTATATTAGGGCTCTTCGATTAAACTAGATTTTGCCCTTCGTGTAAGTCCATTCAACTAGGAAATCTAGCCAAAATGTTCAATCCCATATTTCAACAATCAAATAAAATCCCGACATTTTTTTCCAAAAGTGTTAAATGAGAGAAAAAGTTGGTACTGAATCGTTTTGAAGGCAGCGGTGAGCTGGCGGACAGTGCCAGGGAGGGGAATCGTACTTTTTATATTTTCTTTTGTAAAACTTAATCTCTTCGCTCATCATCATTTGTGGGACTCCCATTTGTGGGGACAGTTCATTCAACACAAAACATTAACAGAAGCCACTCTTATAAATATTCCAGTGGTCTTTTTCCACATGTCCATTCCCCCCCCCCCCAACCAAGCGAGAAATATTTCAAATTGTATTTTTAATTCTCGTTGTGTAAATCAGTGTAAAGTTGATTTTAATAATGATGATTAACACTTTATAAATAGAAAGGTGAGTGGGGTGGGATCGATGTCGTTGGTTTGATCAATAATGGTGCACTGCGGGGTGCCCATGGTGATTGTGGACAACAAAACTCCCTAACAACTATCAAGATCTGGTCAAAATCCGATCTCGGTCGGGAAAAATCGGTTTAAAAATAAAAAGACGATGGCCATCGTTTTGGATCTATTTTACGTTTTAAATGACATTCTGTACTAATAACCTCCCTTACATGCACTTCAACCTTCATGCTGAATTTTAAAAAAAAATAGAAAGAAAATGTGCAGATATAAAATTATTTTTAAAAAACAAAGCGACTACACTAGCAAAATTGTACAACTACTGAATGGACTATTCAAATATTTACCAAAGTAGTGAAAACAGTTACTCGAAATACCTGATGCGGTGGCATTGAAAGTAATGAATTTTTTTTTTTAATTTTCGAAGGCCCCGAAGCAGGTGTTTCGCCCTGTGGTAGGAATTATAAACCCACAGCATGAGAAAAAAAATTACAAAAGGATTTTGAACAGGAAGAGGTTACTGGGGGTTGAACAGTTTGCATCCCCAACCCCCTGAGTCGGTGGGACCCCTGCTCGTTGACATTCTGTGACCTTTACGCCCTCCCTTTATCTGTAAAAGTCAAACCATTATGCGAAAAGTTAATTATCAAGGGACCGAGCTATTCCTCCAAGGTCCAAATAGCTATCGTAAACGGAAAAAGCGTTTTAGATTAAACCCTGTGGGGACTTATTTTGAAAATTGCTTGCCGATATACAAGATGGTGTTTTTTAGCCGTATAAGATTCGGTTCTGTGCCATAATAAGGTGAAACTGTAGTCGGCAGTGAGAGTAGAGGTTCGCGTGTTACTCATAGATAATATCTTACAAATGTAGCATTTCGTGCTAGTGATTGCAATACTATCGATCCTTCAACAAATAACCTCGATACTTTGCGAGTAAATCGCTAAAGGGTTGGAAACGTCCGTAGGCAAATGAAGGCGCTCTGGAGGACAGGAAGTCGAGGGCATCGAAGGACGAAGAAGAAGTAGGTGGTTAAGGGAGAGGAAGGCGAAACAAAGTCGTGGTTCCAGTAACATGACGGTCTTTATTTAGAGAATGTGAAGTGAATTGCAGGTAATTTCAGTTCGTCGACCTCTCCCTCTCGGGGCTACACGTGCATAGAGCCTCTTAGATCCTTTTTACATTTACGGCAAATACGAAATTCATAAGGAGAGCTAGAACGGCAACTCTTTCCTTTCCTTCCGCACAAATTTAAAAAAAAAAGGTGAGTTTTTTTGTCGAGGGTCCGGTGGTCAGTAGGTTGAGACATATGTCGGTACCAGCTGATCCCACCCACCTGTCTTACACCTGGCCTACTATCGTAACAGACTTCCAATCCAATTATACAAACTCGCACCGGTTTCGAGACGATACTCAGACGAAAATAATTCCAGATCGAGGGGATTTTTCGTAATTGTTTCTCGGTAAAGAGAACAGAGGAAAATAGACCGAGCGGACGTTGGAGGCACGGTCCACTGAACACCGGCCTTATCTGCTTTTTGTCACTTACCCATTCTCCCCGGTTCGGTTTTTCACCTGTCCGCCACTCTATTTCAATCCTTCCTACACCTCCAACGTTCAAATCTCTCTCCCGACGGCCGTTTCGCCCTTTCCGATTTCGAACCGACATCCCCGGAACGGATAACAAATAATTATATGGGCCGGGGAAAAAAGGTTCAGCTGTCTGGGACATGTTTTATGCGGGCTCCCGTCATATCGGCGTTTCGAGTACGTCGAAAGACCCCGCATAACCGGCAAAAACGAAAGACGTCCCGACACGTCCTTCCGAGCGGCCCGACAACCTGGGCAAAACTATAAAAATAATGTCAAACGTTCCAAGGTCGCGGATCGGCGTTCTCATAACGTCAGCTGACGATGTTTGAACTCCGCCGATCTGATTCATCAATTTACATTCCGGCCCGGCGCGACGACAGAGTCAAGACGAGTTAACATACGGAGATTTTTTTACTCGGCCAGGTACTAATTGAAGGATAGTCAGGTAAGGACGAGTACACTACGACAGTGCTACGGCCTTGGGAATTATCATTTACAAATGTTATTTTCCCAAGAGCCGGAAAGTGGATTCAACGCCGGACTCCCACACCTCCCACCGAAAAGACCGACGAATAAAACAGCCATATTACATACAAGAAACGCAACGAATAAGAAAAATTTTGAGGTCTTAATACAAAGAACGTGCAAAGGCAAAGCAAAGCGATTAAAACTACAAAAGAATGCATAACACAACGTGAAAGCGAAGTGATAAGCAATATCGACATACTTCCCCGCTTTCCACGGAACAGCAATAAAATATATTTTTAAAAAAAACTTATTTTTTTCTCCGTGCGGTAATTCTACGCTATCGGGGAAAAGAGTGAAAGAAAGAGAATATATCTTTTTTTTTACTTACGAAAGACGAAGGCGTACAGATTTGATAACAGGACGTGATAAGCTACGCCAATATCCAATCGATCGTTTTTACTCCCTTTCTTTCATTTCCAATTATTAGAAATACAATTTAAACCAAATGGTAAAATGTGCATGGAGTCGGATCGGGCCTTGGCCGGCCACGGCGTGATAAAAGTGCGGATGAAATTCGGAATCGGAGCAGACACCGTCCAAATGAAAATGTGCAAGTAATAGCAAAGTGTAGTAGTACCTGTTAGAAGAGACAGCGTTGGAGTTCTACCTGAACCTGAGTCAGAGGAGAGGCGGCGATGGAGGGGACTCCAGCCCCCACTACGATATGTAATTACCATCACGTGATCAACGATAGAATAGTTTCCTTGACTACGACCCGAGTCAACCAAACATTCATCCATTCAAAGATTCGGCGAAGAAAAAAGACAAATAAATTCTTTCTCACACTGGGAAGATGACCGTTTCCTCGGGTGTCGGCCGATGGGCAGCCCCGCAAGGGGGAGCCGACTCGTCATATCGGTATAGTTCACCGTCTACAAAGGAGTGAGACGGGCCGTTTTTGTTTTATCGTCGCCCCTTCAATAAAACGGCTGATACGGGATCGTAACACATTGATTTAGAAATGGGTATAACGATAATAAAAAAATTTTCCGATCCAAAGAAAACTTTTCACTATTTTTTCTCTCACAAAACTCCTATTGATCCCATTTCCGACTACTACCGTTACAACTAAAGCAGTGATCAATAAGGACATTTTCACTATTCCTTCAGAACTCAACGTACTGGGCAAAGGTGGGACAGAGTCGTTCATCAAAGAAATTTTAACGTATTGAACATTGGTCGTATCGTATGTAGATCGTACAACGTATCGAGATGTAGATTATTATCTTTAAGGTAACTTTAGTAGCTCTGAAGTGACTAAAACAATCTTAAGATGTCTACAAATGGACATAATTAAGTTTTTAGTAGATGGTCTCAATTTTGTTAAAGAACGACTTAGACCCAACATTGACAAGGACTGTCACAAGGCAAGATTGATTTACCGTGATGATGACCTTAAAATAAGTCGAAAGCTTGCCAGATAACAATTGAATTTTTTTCATCAAGACCATGCTGATATCCAGGATTATTCGTTTCTAAAATAACTTTAGTAACCCTAAAGTAACTAAAACACTTAAGAATAAAACATGACTAAGTTCTTAGAAGATGGTTTCAAATTTTTTTAAAGACCGACTTAGTCCCAACATTGTCAAGGACTGTCACAGGGCAAGATTGGCATGACCTGATGATAACCTTAAAATAGTTCAAAAATTTGGCAGTATCCATTGATATTTTTTGTGTTTTTTCATTAAAACAATACGGAGATCTACTTTATTCCTCTCTAAAGTAACTTTAGTGACTCTAAAGTAACTAAAACAATCTTAATTACGTCAATGTGTAGACATATTTGAGATTGTTCTCTCCCGTTTATGACCTTCAAATAAGCCGAAAGCTTGCCAGATAGCAATTTATATTTTTTGTTTTTTTCATTAAAACAATATCGAGATACAGATTATTTCTCCCTAAAGTAACTTCAATGACTCTAAAGTAACAAAGAATGTCTTAAGATGTCTATAAATGGAAATAATTAAGTTTTTAGTAGATTGTTTCAAATTTTTTTAAAAGACATACTTAGTCCCAACTTTGACAAGGACTGTCACAGAGCAAGATTGGTTTGCCGTGATGACTTTAAAATAGGTCGAACGCTTGCCAGATAACAACTGATTTTTTTTTCTACAAGAGCATGGCGATATCCAAAATTATTCGTATCTAAAATAACTTTAGTAACCCTAAAGTAACTAAAACAATCTTAAGATGTCTATAAATGGACATGACTAAGTTTTTAGAAGATGGTTTCAAATTTTTTAAAGACCAACTTAATCCCAACATTGCGAAGGACTGTTACAGGGGAAAATTGGTTTCCTCTGATGGTGACCTTAAAATAGGCTCGAAATCTTGGCAGTAACAATTGATATATTTTTCTATTATTAAAACAATACTAGGATCAAGATTATTCCTCTCTAAAGTAACTTTAGTAACTCTAAAGTAACTAAAACAATCCTAATATGTCTACAAATGGAGTCTACAAAACCGAGAACTGCATTATTCCTCTTTAAAGTAACTTTAGGAACTCTAAAGCAACTAAAACAATCTTAACAGCAGCAAATTAAGCAACAAATTAATTGTGTCACTGTGAAGACACATTTAAGATTGTTTTGCCCTGATAATGACCTTAAAGTAGGTGGAAAGCTTACTAGATAACAATTGATTTTTTTTCTTCAAGACCTTGCCAATATACAGGATTATTCGTCTCTAAAATTATTTTAGTAACCCTAAAGTAACTAATACAATCCTAAGATGTCTATAAATGGACATGACTAAGTTTTTAGAAGACGGTTTCAATTTTTTTTTAAAAACCGACTTAATCCCAACATTGTCAAAGACAGTTATTCAGATATCGTGAGATGCGGTCGGGTGTGATGTAGGTTTCAGAAAAACATTTTCTTTATCGTGCCAACGTTTCGATCTTTTATTGAGATCATCTTCAGGGCTCAAAGTGTTTGTCTAATCTCTACACAGATATTTTTTGTGTTTTTTCATTAAAACAATACGGAGATCTACATCAGTCCTCTCTAAAGTAACTTTAGTGACTCTAAAGTAATTAAAACAATCTGTTCTCCCCTGATTATGACCTTAAAATAGGTCGAAAGTTTGCCAGATAACAATTGAATTTTTTGCATCAAGACCGTACCGTTATCCAGGATTATTCCTCTCTAAAGGAACTAAAACAATCTTAAGATAACTATAAATGAACATGAGTTTTTCGAAGATGGTTTCAAATTTTTTAAAAACCGACTTAGTCCCAACATTGCCCAGGATGGTCACGGGGCATTATTAGTTTTGTCCTGATGACCTTAAAATTGGTTGACAGCTTGCCAGATAATAACTGATTTTCTTTTTTCATTAAGACCATACCGATATCCAGGATTATTCGTATCTAAAATAACTTTAGTTCGTCTGCAAAGTAACTAAAACAATCTTAAGATGTCTATAAATGGAAATGATTAAGTTTTAGTAGATGGTTACCATTTTTTTAAAAAACCTACTTAGTCCCAACATTGCCACGGACTGTCACAGGGAAACTTGGTATGCCCTTAAAATAGGTTGAAAATTTGGCAGTAAAAATTGATATTTTTTGTGTTTTTTCATTAAAACAACAACGAGATCTAGATTATTCCTCTCTAAAGCAACGTTGGTAATTCTAACTAAAACAATCTTAAGATGTCTACAAATGAACATAATTAAAATTTTAGTAGATGGTTTCAAATTTTTTAAAAGACAGACTTAGTCCCAACATTGCCACGGACGTTACAAAAGGTAAATGACTATCGTCATATTTCAAGTTGTTCTTATTTACATATTAGAAAAGAACAAAAATAAAATTAAACTGTATTTGAGCAGTAGCTATAACAGGGGAGAGCCAAAGGCAAAATATAATAGAATATATACATCTCGTGAATGGACACCTGGTTTTTCATGTGTATTGATTGATATATCACTTTTCATGTTATTTCTCTTTATATTCTTTTTATGTTTATACCATAAAATCCCTCGTATCTCACAAAATATTACTCCTACTGTAAATGTTATTACACCAATAGATATAACATTAAAAACCTTATGAGAATGATTTGTTTCTTTTATTTTAATCTTAAACATACAAAATCATTTAGAAAATAAACTTTTAATAGTTTCTGAACTTATTGTTTAAGTCCATTAGATTTCGTGGTCGGATTGACCAAATTTTCTTTCAATTAATTAATCTTTATGTAAGGTATTGGTTGAGATAAAAAAGTCAGTGACACGAGCGGGATTCGAACCCACGACCTTCGACTTTCAAATTTTCATTTCAAACTAAATACGCCGCTGCTCTACCACTTGAGCTATCGTGACTTCCATCCACTCGGACACCAACTCTCCATCTCAACCCAACCTTTTGAATTTTCCATCTTTTTTGCCATTTTTCAAATGCCGTGTAATCATTCTATTCTCGGCGACAAAAGAAATGGCCACGGAGAGCTTTAGTGAAGATATTCTTCATTTTACTTATTAAATCCATTAGATTTCGTGGTCCGATTGATTAAAAAACTTCTTTCAATTAATTAATCTTTATGTAAGGCATTGGTTGAGATAACAAAAGAGATCAAAGAAAATTGGAGAGGTGGGTTGAGGTGGGAAGTTTGTATCGGTATATACCTAGTGAATCGAAGTCGCGATAGCCCATGTGGTAGAGCAGCGGCGTATTTAGCCGAAGGTCGTGGGTTCGAAACCCGCACGTGACACTGGCATTTTTATCTCAACCAATACCTTACATAAAGATTAATTTATTGTTTAAGGTTTAATTAAGATTTTCTTGGTTCTGTAAATGCTAATAAATATGGCGTGTACAGAAATGTCTCCCCTACTTATGAATTGTAAACACATACACTTAATTTCTCAAAGGTTGATTATCACTAATGTGAAATTAACGTTAAATGACTAAAAATTTCATTTTCTCGTTATATTCAGCTAATAAAAAAATACATTATGACTTTGAAATTTCTATTAAATTTCAAACCGTGGATTTATACACGATAATTACTTTTTATGCAAAGAATGGTTGAGTTGAAAAATTAATGTCACGTGCGGGACTCGAACACATCACCTCCGGTTCAGTACCCCAGCGCTTTTACCACTTGACCAATCGGGACAAGTGGTAGAAGCTCCGTGATACGGATGGGGAGGTCGTGGGTTCGAGTCCTGCTCCTGACACACAGATTTTTACACAGATTTCATTAATCTTAGGCTTTCTTTTTTTTTAATAACGAATCTATAAAATTAAACAGAAAAGGTACAAAATTACAAAATTGAACATAAGAAAAAACAAAACGTTTAAACGAATTAAATTAAATGTTCAAATTGTCAACTTTCTTGAAGAATGCAAGACCGAAACCGTTTCCTGACAGATTTTATTACTTTTAAGCTTTTTGTTTTTTCTTAAAAAGAAAAAAGTAATACAAATTTAAAAAAGACTCTTTGGTGCAAAATTTAACATAAAAAAAGTTTCAAAAAATTAAATTAAATGTTCAAAATTTCAACTTTCGTGAAGAATGCAAGCCTGGCATCGTTTCCTGACATATTTTACTACTTTTAAGCGTTTTGTTTTCTCTTAA